ATCAAAAGAGAATTTACTTTCTCTGTAATCATTAGTGGTTATGTTTAAAAATAATATAAAATTTTAAAACTTTTGCAGGCTGTAGGTCTCTAGGACATGGAAGCACCCAACCAATAATATTTTTAAGTTGCATAGCTAAAGGACATGTTTCCTCTAAATTTTAAGCATTTAAAGGTAAATCTCAATAGTTCAGACAGCAGAATTGAATATATTGTATGGTATGAGCCAGCACAACAGGAACCATATAGCCACAACAAGGGAAGCATTAATAGGAAAGGAAGAGAAAACAGGGCCTATGATGCTAGTTACAGAAGAGGTTGCTGTTCTCATCCAGAAGCACAGTGTCACTTCTTAGCAATAAGGTGGTGATTCAGTGAATTTTTCTAGTTCAAACTTCTGGGAAAGAAAAGGGACAAAATGTTCTGTATAATTCACACAAGAATCAGGAGATTAAAATTCCCAAAAGTCAGAAAATGGCCAAAGTTATTTAAAGAGTGACTTCCTCTCTTTTAGTTCACACATTGAATAAAACAATATTAAGCCACACTTTAATAATTCAGGGACCATCATTTCTCTTACTTTGCTCTTGCACAGTGCTTAATCACATGAAGGGCTCCCGGTATGCGGTCTCCAGAAGGATGAAAGCTGAATTCAATTATTACAAAAATAACTCCAGACTTTTAAAAGTGTTCTCTTAACCTTAAAGGAACTTAAACAGCCTCTGAAATTGCCTTATACAATATATCCTAGCATATGTTTATACACACTGTGTTTTAATACTGTTAACTTGCTTGCAAGTTCCTTTGTAGTTACTCTTGTATGTCTTGAGCAACACACATATCTTAAAATTTTCCCTTCATTAGATCTTTTATCTCTTCAAAGCAAAAGAAGAAAGGGATGGCATTATAAACAGTTAATTAATCAATATTAGGCACATTGAAGCTTATAGTATCCAGGATAGATGTTCATACTAATTTTAAAAGTATACGCCCAGGCATATGGACAAATTTCAGATATTCTCAGAACCTGAGACTGTCAGGCAGTTTATAAAACAAATTTTATCTTTGCTTAGCAAGAAAGAAAGATTGTATCGCTATGTTATTAAATAAATTAAAACCAGCACTATTCTGAACTAAAATTAGTGGTTATAACTTGTTATATTTTATTAAAGTGTAACTAAAGAATGTGTTAACTTCACCCAGAGTGAAAAATGTTGTTATATAAAATCAGAACACAAAAGTTTCTTCCAAATGAAATAGAAATGTGTGAATTTGAAAGACAAGGTAATGCATGACCTTTTTTTTTTCTCTTCCCAAATGTTATGCCTACCTCAAAGAACAATCTGTCTCAAGTAGTGATTCAGTTTTCATCTGTGTATTTTTTTCTACAAAAATTGTTTGTGGGGTAGAATTCAAGTGAAAATAAAGGCAATTCAAAAATAAATGTAGACTAAAAAGGAGACCCTAAAAGTACAGAAATGAACTGTTAATATCTTAAACTATCTTTCAAGAATAACTGGGTAATTAATGATTATGTTGGGAAGCTAATGAAATAGCCACCGATGTTTAGATGGAAACAAATAATACATTTTTAGAAGGCCATCAAGACATTAATTTTCAACCTTCAGTGAATTCACAATGTTTCTATTCATGAACAATAAGAAGAAAAAAGTAATTGGCATAGGCATTTATGTGAAGAAATTTCACTCTCTAGTCACATGTTCACTCTGCAGTGGAAAAAACCCTCTGTGCTTATACATATGAATGCTTTCCGTTACCTTCAACCTCAGACATAAGGACCAGCAAGGCCTGGGAGTGACCTAGAGCCAAGAGGGATGACCGGGAACAAATTCCAAGCATAGCATTTGTCTAATTGAGAAACCTTACCCTCTTATCTTTAAGCTTCCCGAGCTCAGCCATCTCAGATCTGTCTAATCATGAGTCCATTAAGTCATCTTTGCTGCCGTGAAGATGACCCTGACAGCGCAGTTACTTGAGTCAGTTTAAAGAGGCCCAGGGTGGTTGAAGGGAAGGATTAGGAGGCCTGGGGTGCTGAAAGCTTAACCCAGCTCCAGCTCCCAAAGATCCCTGCAGCACGCAGCTGTCAGGAGCACCAAGTTACACTTAGAGAAAACCTTTGGAGAGAAGTAGGGATCTTACAGCATGTCAACAATTTCACCAGGCACAATTTCCTTTTCTATTAGATGAATAGATTTAAGTGGCAGAAATCGTGTGAGAGAACCACACAAGCTACACATCTCTAAGATGGAGGGTCTTTTATTTGGTGATCATAGTAGATATTATTTGGCATCTGAATGTGATTTTTCATGAATCCTACAAGACCTCTGTGCATCGTTCCAGGAGCTGTTTGTCTAATAGGTAGATCTTGTTAAGGCAAAACTTCTGCTTCTGAAAAGAGGCAGAGGAGTCGAGCTCAGGATAGCATCACAGGGAGGAGAAACAATATTCTGTGTTGTGAGAATTCTATGAAAACAAAGTTTGAATAAAAACTTAACCACTAACTGGTATTATTGTAGGTGACAGTTTGTTATTACAGTTTTTCCCCCAACATGGGCGCTCTTCCAGAAAGAGAAATGCTCATTGCTCATCTACAGAATGTTTTGGGAGTGTCATGAATTCTCCCTGTTGGGGTAGCAGCAAGTTTAACAGCATCACTAATAATAACTTTGATACCTGTCCCTTTTGGTGGGGGTTTGGGGAACTGATAACAGAGAGGGCCACAATCACGTACCAGATCTATTCTAAGCACTGATGAGACATTATTTTATTTCCCCAGTCTTTTAAACTGGTATTATTAGTCATTCTTATTGTATTAATAATGCAGTAGACACAAAAAGTTTAAATATTTGGAGAGATAGTGGAGCTAGGATTAAACATGTCAAGCTCTTTCCTTTAACCACATCTCCATATTGCTCTCAGCTTGCATCTACCACAGAAGAATATTCAATTTGTTCTTAAAGAATACTTATTTAAAATAAATCTAGCCTCATGTGTAGGTCATTATTAATAATACAACTCAGTGAGAGCCAAGCGTGTATCAACTTACATTTAAGATGTAAAAGCAACTAAGGGAAATAAAGATGAATTAGAACCGTAGAACTTTACAAACAAAGTGTCCTTCCAATGTTTTACAGGCAGGGAACATGAGCTCAGTGATACTTGTTAATCCTTTCTGAGGCAACCAAGCACAACTTGAACCAGATTCCAAGACTTCCAGCTCACAGCTCAATTTGTCTCCACCATATGAATGTATTACTGTATTATTCTTGGTCTTACAATAAAATCATCATTATATTTTGTACAGAAACCAAATAATCAAACATATTTCATGTATCAGTTAAATCAAAACATATTATCAAAGGGTAAATTTTGTGAGATGAACAGTTTCATGTGCATTTGCTTTTCATATATAGACCATGTGTACAGATGAATGACTAAAAATTGTTTCTACTATACCAAAAAAAGTGGCACTCAGGGTTGAAATACAAGCATTCATTCATAACTGTAAACCAGTTCAATCAACCAGCTCTGATGTTTACACAGAACAAAGTTACTCTCATTCAGGCACCTGTAGGGAAGCATGGTGTGCACTGTACAATACACTTGAGCTAATTAGCATTTATTTCTGTGAACCCTTTCCAAAGAACAGTATTCTTTATATGAGGTGGTAGGAGTGCTTCTAAAATACATAAGACCAGGGTTTTCCACTGAGGCAACCACTATTTTGAAAAGCTTTTAGAAGTACTATTGCTAACCCAAGTAAATTATCAAGTGAGATACCAATTTTTTTACCATATCATTAGAAATTACAGTTTAAACACCTCATGTTCTAATTTTGCAGCCCTTTCGACTAGTACTGACCAAAAACCTGGGTGGAAATCACAGGTCTTTATTTCATTCAGGCACATACTATTTGGAGTTACTGTGATGAAATCTTTCCAAGCAAATTCCTACAAGCCTTTATGCCTTCATCTTTGTCTTCCTGGACAAACACTGCACTACCTGTTGTATACATAAAAATCTTCACAATTTTAAAGACATATCTTTCAGTCAATACTGACATTTTCTGTCAATAATTTTCTAATCTTAGTATGTTACTACTGAATAAATGAAGTATTTATGGTTGTAGTATAGAATATCTTAAAGACAACTGCAGAAGAATGTATACCATAGATAAAAAAAAATTATTGTTTTGTCAAAGTGGCTCAGCCTGGTAATTAATAATGATAGTAATAATAACAGTAACCAATGATTAAATCTACACAGAACTCTATCAAGCTTATGGGATCATTCATCAAGAAGACATATCTTTTAAATGAGTGAATTAAAATGTTAATATTTTATATAAGTGAGTATATTAAAATATATTATGGGATATATAGAGATTATTTTATTATTAGAAAATTAAATCTCTTTATTATTATTATTATTGATGAACTTCTTTCCTCTAGAAAATAGATTTTGGAGAAAAATGAAAAGATGTCTCGAACAGCCACTATATTGTTAACCATTATACTGTTAACATTCCCTCCATGCATAGCCTCTCCGGTACTATTAAAGACTAAATCACAAGAAAGATAGTCCCAATTTCATTATCATTTACGTTTTTAAAATGCTGTGCACACTGGACATAGAAGCAGGTGATGTACAGCTATCAAATTCATTAGGTTAGCTTTAAATGTAACAAAACATATTTTCTCTAAATACAATGAATTGTAAAAATCTGCATGTTTCAAAAAAAAAAAAAATAAGACCACTAATGCCTAGTCTGTACTATAAGTCACCATTTCTAGAGGTTCTATTTCCTGTGAGAGATAAAGGAATAGTAAGCAGTTTACACATCAAATGGTGCCTTTCATTCTTGTAATTTACACCTAAACATTATATTAAAAATAACGGCATGAAGATGATTTCAAAATGAGAAAACGACCTGGCGGCTAGATTCTCTGGTGCAGATAATTAGATATTTTGTCAGCTTACCTGATACACAGCCTTAGGAATCACAGCATAACAAAGCCCAGCATCCAAGATGGTTAGAATATAATGTGCTTTGCTCTGCAGTTCTTCAGATTTTGGCCACAGGGATTTGCAAATTAATTACAATTTTTTCTTGCTTTCTCTGTGGACAAGAAAACAAAGAGACCTTTCCAGAATCTGCTGCGCTTATGCCTCCGCTTCCTGCTCTGAGATTCACTCTATGGTACCCAACATATATCAGAAAACAGCTTTGGAAAAAAAAAAAAAAAAGAAAGAAAGAAAGAAAAAAGAGGGAAGGGTGGCAGCCCTCAACGTGGTAGCGCCATCTACTGGCAGACACACAAAACTGAACAGAAGACAAAACATTCCCGTTATCCTCTATTTTAGGAGGTAAATCAGTTTGACAATACTGTTCATCCTGAAGGTGCCTGAGATGACAACAGCGAAGTGACGAAGGTAAAATTCCGCAAGATGCAAAAAAATGTAAACAATCTGCCACATCTGAGTATTTAACTCTTTTATATATCGAGTTATTTTCATGTTGCTCACATTTTTCTAAAATTCAAATAAAATTGGAAAGTTGCCTTATCTGTACATAACCAAAACCATTTTTCTTTTTCTGTTTTGGTGTCAGGGAGAAAACTCACGACCTCACACTTGCCAGGCAGGCACTTGTGCTGCTGAGCTGTATCCCTGGCCCCCAAACACTTTAAAAATCCGTAAATTCCTGCACAAAAATTAGATAGTTATATTACCTTTAGCATCATGAGTAGAGTTTTGTACAATGTGTTCTGCTCTGGCTTTCTGGGAATAATTTCTCATTGTAGGATGAGTTATTTTTTCAAAGTGATTGACTCTTTAGATTCAGGCATAGCCTTTTATGTTGCTTTCTAGTAAAAAAAATTTACAAAGCAGTATGATTTTAATGTAGAAAAATATGCTATATAGCTAATCCTAGCTAATTTAGACCCTTGGCTGTATTGTGTGTGTGTGGGGGGGGATGCATACATGTGTGTGTGTGCAGAACCACTGAAACTCTCTTACAGAAAATAATTCAAATCAATGACTGTATATTCAAATGCCTTTAAAAGAATTTAATAAATATATTGTTTATAAGGATACTGAAGCACAAAATCAAACTGAATTACTATCATCAAAGTAAAAATAACCTTTTACATGCACGGAGATTTTTCAGCTCACCAAAGTGTTACTTGCCATTTGGCTATTTTTTTTTTTAATTTTTAAAAAAATTTTTTATCTGTACCGGGGATTGAACTCATGACCACATGCTTGCAAGGCAGGTGCTTATGCTGCTGAGCTAAATCCCCAGCCTCTTGACATTTGACTTTTTGTGCTTACTTTAGAGCAAATAATTACAATTTCATTAGAATTTACTATTAATTAATTAACTATGCTAAATATATTATGTTCATTGAACAATTGTTTGAATGCACAAAAATCTGTGTTAAGAATGATATGAGCTTTGAAGACAAAGAATCACGTAGTGCCTGTCATTAAAGAGCTTGCTTATAACAAGGAGAGACAAATATAGCTGACACCATATTTTCAGCCATGTGCATGAGAAATGTTATTTTCTTAGTTTTTAATTATAGCCGCAGCTTTACTTGGTGAGGAAAAAGGGATCTAGAAAGCCTAGGTAAACTGGACCAATTGAGGCTTTCCTCAGTTTTTTCAGGTTTACACTGAAGTAATGTGTGACTTTCTCTAACTCTGTCCCTTCTCGTGGAGACAGCTCTCACTTCAGGAAACTGGCAAACACAGAGAAAGCAGAGTATGGTCTCTGTCTTTCCCTGTGTCTTATGAGTACCCACTAGGACTAGACTCTTATGAGGCTGGATGTGGTGGTACACACTTGTAATCTCAGAACTCAGGAGGCTGAGGCAGGAGGATCACTGGGTGACCAGCCTGGGTTGTTACCTAGTGAACTCAAGGTCAGCATGAACTTACACAGTGAGACCTTGTCTCATTAAAAATAAATAAGTAGAATAAAGTATAAAATAAAATAAGTGAAATAAAGTAATAAAGGATGCCAGTAACGGTCTTACCATATCTAATGCACCTATGCTCTCATTTGAACCCGGATGCTGTCTGTTTGGTTTCTCATGCAGATTCCCTCTTAAGACCACTAGTTATCCTGGGTTTTGTCAGCTCCTCTTCTCAGGTAACATTTGTTTCTGGCTATGGCAAAGAAGGGAAGAAAAGCAGGTAATACGTTTCCAGGGTCACACTGTTGAGTGGCATCCCCTCCCTGGCCCACGCTCTGTTCTACTGTTTCCAGAACATGGATAGAAAAATTTCTGCAGACTTCGGACTAGGGAGACACAATGTATGCTCCACTACAGTACTGTGACATCCTGGGTACATCAACTATGACCGGGACTCCTATCACTTGTGTTGGTCTCTCTTGTTCTTCTCAAACTTCTTTTCCAGCATCAACAACTTTCTTCTGGACCTTGTATTTTGATGGAGTAGTAAACTAGATTCACATATTTTTGCCTTAAATCTTTCTGTCTTATACCCAGTGCATTACGGCTACCGTGAGTAGTGTACTGGGTGACTTAGGCTTATAGAAATCAACTGTCTCACAGTTCTGTGGGACAAATAATCAAGAGCCAGTGTCAGAGAAATGTTTATTCTGAGACTTGTAGGCGAAGGACCCAGACTTGTTTCTTAGAGTTTCTGAGAGCTCTAGACATTTCACTCTGATCCCTCTTCCTATCTTTATGTGATGATTTCTTTGCTTCTCTTCACACAGTCTTCCTTCTGAGCATGTTGGCCTCTATGTTCGAATTTCTGCTTCTTAATGAGCACACCAATTATTTTGGACTAGTATCTCTGCTTAGGATCTCATTTTAACATGAGCATCTGTGTACTCATGAGTACCATTTCGACAGGAAGGCATGTTCTGAGTTACCAGGAGTTAGTAACATATCTTTTCAGAGGAAGGAGACACAATTTAACCTCTAACATCCAGATTAAAATATTTAAACACAAGAATTTGAAGACTCGTTTGTTTGTTTACAATGGCAATAATAGCCTTGGGCTGCAACCAGGATTTAGGATAGGGGTTGGTAGGACTGGATGATGAACTTGGAGTAATAGTGTAGATATCATCACAGTAACAATTATAACAAAATTGGCATTTAGTGTAATATGTGACAGACAGTGTTCCAAGTGTTTTACATACAGTTATTTAACCTTCACCCTCAAAAATGGTGTTATAGACATTTTTGTAGATGAAGATGAGATGATACATGAAGGGAAGCAAAAACACATGAATCAATATTTCACTTGTTATTGGAATACACAGGACTATCATAGAGGAAGATATATACACTACAAGTATTGACCACATGCTGGGGGATCATAAAGGAAATAACTATACACTAGGCCACTGATACTCATTTAATGGAATTTTATGACATTATATTGTTCTATTGTGAGGGATGTTTATTTGTAGGAATTTTTAACTTCTTCTTAGCTAGCCATGAATTGTCCCTGTCCCCTGACATTTAACAATATTCAGTAATTTTTTCAGTCCCAAGCATTGTATACAATTTCTCTATTAGTAATAATAACAACCTGCATATTCATTCATCCTGATATCTGTTTTTGAATATCCAGATAACCAGAAGAGTTGCCTGGTAGTGTTTTCTTGGGGGAAGAACAGAATAAGAGGAGTGCAATCTAGATCATATTTTAGTAAGAACAAAAACAACAAAAACAAAAATAATAAAATCAGTAACTGTTGTGTCAATATACTTCATAGCAAAAAGTTTTAAAAAAAACTAGCAAAAACCTTTCTTCTTTGTTACCAAAGGAACTCATTTTGTATTGGCAGAATTTGTTATATTAAGTAGGAAAATAGAAGAAAGTAAAAGTGGCCACAGGGTGATATCATTTGTTATGACGCTGACCACATTGTGGCTTTTGAACTTTCCTTCCATAGATAACATTCAGCTTTTCAGTAAGCCAACTTGAGAATGTTTAGATGAAATAGCCATTGATTACTAATACAAAGCTTCCAGATACTTAGTGGTATGTGCTTGTACTTTGTAGATACAGACTGTATATATCCAAAGTGTTAAAATCATAGTTCAGCTGAAGGTTACAGACAAAGGAGGCTTGAGTCTTTTCCATTCAAGCTGATACTCAGCTTCTATGTTTCTGTTTTCATTACCTCGATAACAAAGTTAACCTGCTGCTCAACATAGTATGTGCTGAATACATAGAAATTAACTTACATTATTCTGCCTGCGCTCTTACAGTTCTGTCTTCCACTTTATATAGAATCTCCTGATGGTAAATGAGACAAACTCAGTTTTACTCAGTGCCAAATACATAAGGAATCATAAATTATAAAAAGAAGTAAATGAACCTCCTTTGGTCAAAGGCAATGAAATATTTTCACCTCTATTATATCTTTTTTCTTTGTAACATCTTTAAAAATCAAGTTATTTTTCACTTGGAAAACTTGACATAGAAAATAAAAAATTACATGGTGGTAAAATTGGTCTAGAATTCAGGATAATTGTCAGTTTAAAATCTACTCACTAGATAAAATGATTATATATCAAGGGTTCACATATTCAAGATATAATAACTGTCAAAATATTACTTATTAGGTATATTTGAATTCAGGAATATTAAAACATATTTAACCTTTATCATAAAATAACAATGCAATAAAACACATTCAATTTCCTTGTGACTTCAGTGTAAATGACCTCCTGTGCTATAGCTGTACAGCTATGTAATTATAATTTTGCAAAGATATCTTGAACTACTGTGGCTTTTAAAATGTTACCACCTTTGTTTGAAATTATTTTCTTGCCATTCTCACCAGCATTTCTCTCCATCACTTGGATCACTATTATCTATTCTAGAATACTCAGGGTAATGGACTGATATCCTGTCTTGCTCTTCCCATAAATGAATTTGACACCCTTTTCTGTATTACCCAAGCATCAGATGGGTGCACTTTTCAGTCTAAATTGTAAATGCTGACTTACTTCCAACTTGAAAACTCTCTTGTCAATTATATGAGGTACTTAATAACAAGTAATATGTTTTCGTTTTTCTTTTTCAAAAATCTCTTAATACAATTCTCTGCTATATTATAGTAGGAACATAGTATTTGTTTATTATGGATAAAGTAACATTGTGTCACTACTTATAGTAATGTATTGTTTACCTTTCCCATTTAGAAAGCCAGTAACATGGACCA